GTATAGTAAATATCAGTTTTAAATTGTGGTCTTCTATCAAATAGCCAAAATATTTTCAGTAGATAGTCACCAGTTGGAAAAGAATGCGGCAAGTAGTTCAATTTTGGATAAAACCCCTCAACAATTTGGGGGCCCTTGAATGAGAGGATGCAATTAAAAATATATGTGCGGCAGATATGTGTAGGTGTTCTTTGATAGTTACCAAATAGGGACATGAATGATTAAAGTTAGAAAACTCGGCCAATAGCTTGTAAGCCAGCATTGCGAATGCATTGAAACGTTTTTTAATAAAACGACAGCCATCAACGGTAACATTAACTAGCCATGGCTTGTAGCCATTGGCCTTCACAAAGAGTTCGAATCGAACGTGAATATTTTTGGCAGGATGCAAAACGGTTCCATTAAAATTGAATGTCGTCTTATTGCGGCTTACAGCTCGAAGGCGACATTCATTTATGACCATCCACGATTTGTTGTAGCTCTCGCAAACCGCATTTGTGAACTTGAACTCGATAGCCTCCTGCAGTCGATAACTGTATTTAAGCTGTATGTCAAGCATTATCCTCAGGCCAACTTACATTGTAACTCACGAATAACCAAATTGGCAATAATCCGATAACTTTAAGTGGAATGTGCATGGCCACAATACTGAAATGACTTCGAAGCATTCCCTATATTCCACAAATTTTATATCAAATGGTCTCTTCGCCTGGGTACATCGATAAATTGTTTCAATTAAAAAATAATTTACATATGTGAAGGGGCTGCAAAAGTAATTTGTTAAATCGATTTACCAATCAAATTCGCATTGCGTAGCACAGTAAAAAGTCAAAATCGAAAAACTGTTCACAATAACACATTAAATAAACTAAAATAGTACGAAAACCCGGAACGTACATGGATGTTGCCCAAGATGAATATACTGCGCATAACAACAGCTGATAAAAACTTTCTATGCCTCCAAATGGCATTTTAAATTAATAAATACTTGTATATTCTTTGAAGCCAATTCATTGAGAACAGAAGGTCACCAGTCGGTGGGGCATGAGGCAAATACTTCCATTTAAGGTAAGTCCCAGCAACAATTTGTGGACCCTAAAGCGACAAATGGCAAGACTTGCCAGATAGGGACACAAGTGATTCGAAAGTTGGCTCAGAAGTTTAAAAATGAGCTTGCCGACGGGATTGGATACTTGAATACGTTCAAGAGCCACGGCTTGTAGCCATTGGCTTTCTGAAAGAGTCGCTACTGCACGTCTGTGTCATATGCGGAATAAAGGACTCTTATATTCAAATCAAAAGTCGTCTTGTTTCGGCAAATGGCATGCAACCGACATTTGTGTATGACAATCCACGATTTGTTGTAGCTCTCGCAAACCGCATACTAAATGATCTAATCGCTTGAGTTAATAAACAATGGCTTGTATTAAAAAGTACTTAATAATCGTGACCGACTGAAAGAGCAATTTGTTAAATCGCATTACATATCATATCGTTTTGTTCGTTTCGATAGTTAAAACTCATAAGCTTCGGCTGTTTGGTATGGAAATAAATATTATTTGTATTTAGTGTATGATAGTTCGAAAACGAATGTATATGGACCTTGCTTGGCTTTAAGGATTCACTAACAAATCCTCTTTGAAATGTTTATCAAACATCCAGGTTAAGGCCACCAGTTGGTGTGGCATGCGGCAAGAACTTCCATCTGAGATAGAACCCATCAACGATCTGTAGGCCCTAATGTCAGGGAAATTGAGCCTTGAGCCAAAAGACAATTACAGTTGAATGCTTACCAGATGGGCTCACGTGTGATTAAAGTTGGTGAGCTCTCTAAAAAGCTTAAAAACAATTATTGCAATTGGATTGTAAGGTTTGCCTATAAAATGGCAGCCAGTGATGGTTATTGCGGCTTACAGCTCGAAGGCGACATTTGTGTATGTCCATCCAAGATTTGTTGTAGCTCTCGCAAACCGCATTCGTCATTTTGAATTCGATGGCTTCCTGTTTAACAGCCTCCAATTTGAACTGGCAGCTAACTTAGATTGTAACTCAGCTTGAGGTCTATCCAAACTAGAAATATTCCGCAAACAATGAGGGCAGTGCGCATGGCGATGGTTCTCGGATGACATTCAGAGATTTAATAATTGTATGCATTATAAATTTGTATATTTCCGCATTTCCGCTTCAATGCATACATAATGAAAGAAACACTATCGGAATGTTCGTATCGAATGGGCTTTTAATAACATTGATTAAGATCTGCCTGTCCAAAAAAAACTACAAATTCTGTTTATAGTTAATGAGATAATGAGTATTTACGGATATGATATATCCTTGAAATCCTTGAATGGCAATAGATACATGTTGCTTATGTAATCGTAAAGCACAAAAGGTTTCCTTTTATAGCTCATGCATCCATTGCCAATAAAATTCGACAAAATGGCTTTGCAAAGGAACTGGACCTCTATATACCGAGCTATCTTTCAGGGGCACACACTTTAATGCATACACCCCGAAAGTATGCAACGAGAATCGCAGCTGTGATGAGCCACATATTATTTCTAGTTACCAATTTTATAGATTCTCAGAATTGTGAATTTTAATTCAAAGGCATTTCAACAACAAAAAACAAGTAAGAGGTTCCAGTCGGGAACCCTGAACCTTCTTCTTCCAACATCAAATGCATATATATATTCTATTTTAGAAGCTTTATGTCAAGTTTGGTGACTCTCAGGATATCGATATCGATTTTTATCGATTGCTTGGAAACGGAGTAAGTTATCGATTATCGGAAACAAACTCGATCTGCGCGTGAACTAGGAGCATCTACATCTGCATCAAGCTGTCTGTAGCTCTTATAGGTTCTGAGATCCTTGCGTTCATACATACGGACAGACGGACGGACGGACAGACGGACGGACAGACGGACAGATGGACGAACGGGCATGGCTAGATCGACTCGGCTATTGATGCTGATCAAGAATCTATATACTTTATGGGGTCGGAGATGCTTCCTTCTGCCTGTTACATATGTGATAATGTGAGCAAAAATATTTATACATAATATGTCATAATATTTGTCTCTTATAGATACATTATATTAAACGCTTTTTCTGCATCGACACATCAACTAATTATTCGCGTTTGGAAATGTTTATTTATCGTTATTAGTTTAAATAATTATTATTTTTTTTTTGTATCGCTTAATATCATTTGGCATAAGCTTTAGTAGATGTTTATGTGGTTCTATATTCAAAAATGTTTATTTTATTTCTTAAAATTCTTACAAATCCTCCTTGAAGGTGAAGTAGACTTTTGTTTGAAATTGTGGCCTCTTATCAAAATACCAGTTGGTAGCCACTTGATAGTCTCCTGATGGCAACAGATTTGGCAAAAACTTCAAATTGAGATAAACTCCATTCACAATTTGTGGGCCCTATTTTGAAAGAGAAAGTGTACATTTTGGTTGCAATACGAATGCAATACTCACTATAAAGGGACATGTGTGATTGAAGTTGGAAAACTCTTTGAACATTCTAAACATAAGTATTGCAACTGGGTTGTAGGGTTTCTTCAGGAAACGGCAAACATCGATGTTGATATTGTAGAGCCAGGGCTTATATCCGTTCTCTTTCTTTAAAAGTTGCACTTTAGCTAAAATATCATTGGCTGGATGCAGAACAGTTCCATTTACAATTAAAATTGTTTTATTCCGATTAACTGCCCTCAGCCGACAATTGTGCAGGACAACCCACGATTTGTTGAGACTCTCGCACACCGCATTTGTCAACTTAAATTCAACAGCTTCCTGTTGAAAATAATGTTAAATCAAAGTTTCTCAACGCTTCCAGTCTTAGCTAGAAGCTTACATTGTAACTCAGCTTGAGAATTAACCAAACTTGAAATATTCCCCAAACAATGAAAGCGATGCGCATGGCTATGATTCTCGGATGACTTTTAGGCACTTAATACTTGTATGCATTGGAAATTTGTATATTCGCAGTTGAAGTTCCACTTCAATGCACACATAATGGAATGAACACTATCGGATTGTTCGAATCTAAGCTTTCGCCTGGGGCTTTTAACAAAAACATTGATTCGAGCTACCGTGAACACACAAAAAGTAAGAGGTTCTAGTCGGGAGCTTCCGACTAGGGGATACCCTGAACCCTCTTCTTCCAACATCAAATACATATATATATTCCATTTTAGAAGGTATATGTCAAGTTTGGTGACTCTGGCTCTTATTATTTACCAAAATTGCCCAAAAAACAGGATATCGATCTCGATGTTTATCGATTGCTTGGAAACGGAGTAAGTTATCGATTATCGGAAACAAAATCGATCTGCGCAGGCACTAGGAGCACCTACATCTAAAATTTCAAGTCTCTCGCTCTTATAGGTTGTGAGATCCTTGCGTTCATACATACGGACGGACGGACAGACGGACAGACAGACGGACGGACATGGCTAGATCGACTCGGCTATTGATGCTGATCAATAATATATATACTTTATGGGGCGGAGATGCTTCCTTCTGCCTGTCACATACATTTGGATTTTGCACAAATACAATATACCCTTATACCCATTTTTAATGGGTTCAGGGTATAAAAATTAGCCATAACTCGGTTTAATCCTTTAGGATTCTAGCGAATGAGCTCTGACCTGCCCAAAGGGATAGAAGAATACAAGTTCAACAAAGATATTTTTGTATAATATGTCATAATTAATATCTGTTATAGATACATTGTATATTATATAAAACGGGCTTTCTGCTTCGACACGTCAATTAATTGTTTCCGTTAAAAAAGCTTCAATTATCGTAATTATCTTAAAGAATATATTTTTGTATCGATTTGAAGTAGAAATAAGGTAAGGCTTACCAGATGTTGCTGTGGAATTTATGTGTTGCTTTATTTAATAATACTTTCACAAATCCTCCTTGAAGGTAAAGTAGATGTTCGATACAAATTGTGGTCTCTTATCAAAATACCAGGTCATAGCCAATTGATATTCTCCTGTTGGCAGAAAATTTGGCAAAAATTTCCATCGTAGATAAAATCCATCCACGATTTGTGGGCCCTTTCGTGAAAGAGAAAGCTGGATCTTAGGAAAGGGCTGTGCGCTACTTGAATATAGCCTGGCCCAATCGAACGAAATGCAATACTTACCATATAGGGGCATGTGTGGTTGAAGTTGGAAAACTCCTTGAACATTTTAAAAATAAGTATTGCAACTGGGTTGTAGGGTTTCTTCAGGAAGCGGCAAACATCGATGTTCATATTGTAGAGCCAGGGCTTGTAGCCATTCGCCTTCTTCAATATTTGCGCCTTAACAAAAATATCGTAAGCTGGATGCAGGACAGTTCCATTCAAATGGAGGGTTGTCTTATCCCGATTAACTGCTCGCAGGCGACATTTGTGTAAGACAAACCACGATTTGTTATAGCTCTCGCAAACCGCATTTGTGAACTTGAACTCGACAGCTTCCTGTGGAAGAGGCTGTTATTAGCTTTAAATATGGTCAACTACCGACCACTCCACACACACATTGTAGCTCAGTTTCAGGGCTAGCCAAAGATGCAATATTCCGTACAAAATGAGAATGTTGCGCATGTTGACAATGCGGCAATACGAATGGCTTTTTAATACTGCGTACAGCATTGCCATTAAATGAGTTATATTAAATGCACTCACGGCCTGTATACTTTTGACAATTATATTTGCATTTAAAAGTGCTTTATTATTGTCATATACATATTTATTATTTAAAGGCTGAAAACGTTTTTTTTGCTTCTTGAATTATTTAATCTCTATATATAAAACTGCCAAACCGTAAGACGGAGTCTCGGGAAATGCCACCTGCATATGTGCAAAAATCGCGAAAAACTTTTTTCTTTACCAGTTCCACATTGTCCAAACTCATTTAGATCAACTTGGCATCAAACATCCTATTTAGACATAGGTCAACATTTTCCACCCGCATAACTTGGTCAAAACTCAACTCAAAGTTTTCAATCTTCATAACTCGGTCAAAACTCAACTGATTTTCACGAGGTATGGCTCTTTGTTCATGGCTTGGCCTCTAGATCAATTTTGGCATCATTAAATAAGAAATTTATGAATACGTGTTACCGCGATCTGGAAAATTGGCTAACCCTCCGATAGGGCTTAAAATCATTTTTAAAGATTCTTAAGAGAATTTCTTTTAGGCTGGGGTATACCCGCTAGTATTATAAATATCTAAATAATGGTTATATGCATAGAAATCATGTCTTTATTATTTAGCATAAACTCAAATTGGCTGAGAATGGTACTGTGCCTGGTATTCGAGCCCTGAACCCCAACTGAATAACCCTTTAACTTGAATAGGAGCTCACATTTAAAGTGTACTCTAGATTTCATGTAGACTATCATTTTTGTCAGTGTATGGCAATATGCATACACTGTTTCAATTCAACCCCTGCCTTGTCATTAACTCCCTCTCGTTTATTCTCTGGTTGTACTTTTCTACCCTCCCACATACAATATATGACAAACAGTTTGCAAATTTCCAAACTCGAAAAGTGCCCAGTCACAGTCTGGCAATCAAACAAGCCAACCATCTACCCAGCCATCCATCTATCCATCCGTCCATCCATCCGTCTCTGCAGCTAAACAAACTGACTAAATATTTAATTACAGGCATTTTGTTATAACGCTCGCGGCTAATTTGCTGTTTAACTGTTTGCCTCTAACTTTGTGTGCAGTATTTTGAGCCTAAGTCAGAGTCGGAGCCAAAGTTAGCCCAAGTATCGGTCGATATGCTAAAATATTCAAACCGTAAACGTAAACAAAGCGGTTTCTTCGCAACTTGTTTCATTGTTTTGTTTGTCTTCTTTTTCCAGTCATCACAAGTTTATGTCATAGTTTTTTGCCTTTACAATTTGTGGTTCTCAGAGCTTGCATAAGCGCCAGCATTGACATCTCAGCTCTCCACTTTGTCTCAAGAATATGATCAATTTATCAAGTTGACAGCTCGCCAAGATCATTGGACTTAAGTCTGTTGAAGTAATTCGAAATCTAGTATAAACAATGTATATTTTATTATTTCACTTGTCTCCATGGCACTTGCGTTATGCGTTATACCCTGTAACTATAAGAGCGGGCAGGATAATGTTGGTGAAGTGTTGGGCATAAAGGCTAGCGAAATGCTATATTCAGTTAGGGCCAAAATAACAAAAAATCCACTCCAGGTCAACTATAAGTCTGACATGCCTCACCTTTTATCTGCTACTCAATAAAACGAGCCGCTTTATCAATTAGTAATCATTCCCTTTCCATCACAACAATGGCTAATCAAACACAGTCATAAAATTTTCTCCAGCAAATCCCCAGTCAAGCACCTTTATTTAAAAAATGCTCCCTATGCATTGCATCAGCCGTTACCCATATCAACAAATAGATATGAATAAATTCAAGTGGGCTGCAAGTGTTATTATCTGTGTCTCTCTCTTTCTCCCCCCTCTCTCTCTCTCTCTCTCCCACACTCTCTCTCCATCTCTCTCCGTCTCTCTCACTCTCTCTCTCTCTCTCTCAACCTCTCAATCGCTCCTTTGCATATCTCTGATAATAAGCTCTGATAACTATCAGATTATAATGGACTATTTGTTATATACGCGATAAATAAATACTATAATATTAAGTAATTCGATTACGCTTAGAGTAGTTTTGGCGATATTGTTGCTATCTTCTTTATTCCCAATATTCTTATCAATTATTTAGCTGTTTAGGGTGTATTTTGTATATAGAAATTAGTTCTCGGCAATGCTGCTTAGTTCGATTTTATGTGAATTTTATTCTGAATAATTATAATTAATTTTATATAATTCCTTCAATATATGAAAATAAGCTGCTCAAATTACATTAATAATAAATAAAATAAATAAATAATAAAACTAGAAGATACGTATTTTTTGCTTAAAATCAAGCTAATTCGAAATGCAAAACCAAATCAAGACGAACATTAGATTTTGTTAGATTCATACCCAATCATTATTTTCAGCACGTTTTAAAGGGTATCTGTCTGTCAAAATGCATCGCCCAGAGCATGCCATACTGATTGTTATACTTAGAGAGAGCAGTTTGCCGGTGAATAAAGCAAATGGCTAACAAAATTTAAAAATTCTAAACGTGTTTATATGCGACTCTTATTTTATTTGTTGTTGTAGTTCGCTTGAGCGGCGGACATTATCGCAACAACTTTTATCTATCGGCAATTGCACAGAGTACATGCCATATGCCATATGGAGACCGGGGAGAGCGGACATATAAAAAGCCCGATCGCTCAGTAGCGAGAGTTTAGTTCCAGTTGAGCATTGTGGGTGAATAGAAGCGTGCTGTACGCATTTGTCAAGGTCAAGTTCAATTGAGTTTTGTAATCGAATATGGATCTGATTTTATTGGTCGCCCTGGTGGGGCTATTGCTCTTCGCCTACAAGTGGGCCACGGCCAGGCAGAATGAGTTTGCCGAGCGTGGCCTGCCCTTTGAGAAACCCTGGCCATTGCTCGGCAATAATGCGGATGTTGTGTTGAACAAGGCCTCGTTTCAGAAACTGGTCTCCGAGTTCTATTCACGCACCCGACAACAGTGAGTAATCGGCCCGGGCTCTAGGTTTATCTCAAGTATTCCCCCAATGTTGAAGTACATTGATATTGCAGCAAATTGGTGGGCTTTTTCAATTTTCGCACGCCAATGATTCAAGTGAACGATCCGGAGTTGATTAAGAAGATAACTGTCAAGGATTTTGAACACTTTCCCAATCATCAGCTGTTCTTTACCACCGAGGAGCGTCTGGTCAACGATATGTTGAGCGTAATGAAGGATCAGCGCTGGAAGCATATGCGCAACACTCTGACACCCGTCTTCACCTCGGCCAAAATGCGCAGCATGTTCGGCCTGATGAACGAGAGCTTTGCCGAGTGCATGGAGCATCTGGACAAAATGGCCAAGACAGCTGTCAAGCCGGGTGAGGGCTTTGAACTGGAACTGAAGGAGGTGTGCAATCGGTTGTCAAATGATTTGATTGCCACCACGGCCTTCGGACTGAAGGTTAGCTCCTACAAGACGCCGAACAACGAGTTCTTCCAGATTGGCCAATCGGTGGCCTTCTTCCGCGGCAAGTCTTTGTACAAATTTATGCTGTCCACCACGCTGCCCTGGCTCTTCAAGGTGGGTTTACTTTGAAGATTAATTGAAAGCTCCTCTATATGTATGCATATTGCCACTCCAGTTGCTGGGCTTCAAGATCTTTGACTCGGAGAAGACGGAATTTTTCATACGCCTTGTTGTGGACGCCATGAAGTATCGCGAGGAGCACAACATTGTGCGGCCGGACATGATTCAGTTGCTGATGGAGGCCAAGAAGGACTCAACGGAGAACTGGACCGACGATGAGCTGGTGGCCCAGTGTTTCATCTTCTTCTTTGCGGCATTCGAGAATAATGCCAGCCTCATCTGCACCACAGCCTACGAGCTGCTGCAGAATCCGGAGATACAGCAACGCCTCTACGAGGAGGTCAAGGAGACGCACGATTCGCTGAAGGGCGAGCCACTAAGCTACGATGCCGTTACCAAAATGAAATACATGGATATGGTTGTCTCTGAGTCCCTGAGGAAATGGGCGCTGGCCGCTGCCACAGATCGCCAGTGTTCCAAGGATTACACGCTCTACGATGACGACGGCTCAAAGCTGTTCGAGTTTAAGGTGGGCGATCGCATCAATATACCCATTGTGGGTCTGCATCTGGACGATCGCTTCTTTCCCGAACCGCACGTATTCAAGCCGGAACGTTTCAGCGACGAGAACAAGAATCAAATCGTGCCCTACACGTATCTGCCCTTCGGCGCAGGTCCACGCAATTGCATAGGTGAGTGCGAACCTTATCTTGTTTATTCATGTGTATTATATAATTGTTGATTCCACGCAGGCAATCGTTATGCTCTGATGCAGGCCAAGGCCATGTTATACAACCTGGTGCTCAAGTACAGAATCGAGCGCTCGCCCAAGACGGTCAAGGATCTGCTGAGCGATGCCCGCGGCTTCCAGCTGACACCACAGACCGGCTACTGGGTGCATTTGGTGCCACGCCAGTGAGACAATTGAACAAAACTCACACAAATTGTTGTTCGATATGATACACATATGTATATTATATATATCTATATATATATATATATATATATTACTTTTGATTATGTTTCCATATACACTGACTCTAATGATATACTTAACAAATACTTAAAATACTCATATGTATGCGTTTCATATAACTTTTAACTTTACCCTCTTTCGTTTGATTGGCGCAATACAGTTCGCTGCCTTTTATTATTACACAAAACTTTCGCAACTAATTCTGGACACAAAAATTCCATTCTTTTATATAACTCTTTCACTTTCGAGCGGCGGCGAAAGCTGAAACATTGCATAAAACCGCGCAGAGAAACAAAAGAATTTTCGCTCTAACTGAATAAAAACCAATTTGCATACATATATATCTAGATATATGTTTATGTATATATACATACATATATATGCATGTAAAGAATTGTGTATATAGAGATTCGGAGCGGGGGGAGTTTTTTTTATAACTTTAGTTATTGCACATTTGCTAGGCGAAAACTTTCGCTCTTCTTTCGTTGTTTTGTTTTTTTTTTTTTTTTACATTATTAATTATTTTATTCAAAAATTCTTTTGTTGGCAGTTGCTTTATTTAACAGTTTATTGTTCGTTGATTGCGTTTTATTTTACTATCTTTTGTTTCTGGCAGATTCTTAGCTTCGACTTATCTATACTATATACTATATACTATAATATATGGAAGTATATACCTTTAATATGTGTGTAAATGCTTGATATACTTTTTAGCTTTGTACAAAGTTGTAGATAAAAAACAGAGTGAGCGAGAGAGAGGGAGGGAGGGTGTCTCTCATCATCTCCATTGTGTACCCTATATGCATATACTATATGTATGTAGTTTGGAATACTTTGTGAGCTGAAGTATGTGAAATAATACGTGTTGTATGCGGACAGCATGGATAAATGTAATATACAGGAAGGAAAATGAAAGAAAATGAAAATATGTGTGTGTTTTTCTTACCAGCTCACTTTACAGCTAATCTAAATGTCCACCAATCCTTAGTTAATATATATTGTATTACTTTCTGCATATTATATAGTATTTATCGATATGTCCATTTACAAAAGCCCCGATATCCAGTTTTAAACGCTATATAGACGCTGTGCATTGCCCGGACGTGGCTTGCCCAGGCCAAAGAAGTTCCAGACACGCCTCAGGCAGCCGGGTTTCTTTTCGGGCAACAGACTGAGGCTCTGCTCCTCGAGTATGGTGTCCAGTATGTAATAGCTGCTGAGATTCAGCGGCGGCGGCGGCAGCATCGGAGGTGGTCATGATATCGTGCAATTCTTGCTCTCGTGCATGATCGCCGGCAAGCTTGACTGGGCGCCGCCCAAGCAGCTGCCCGCGGAGGAGTTGCCCAGCGCGTTGGCATCGCCCGCCTGGGCCAGCTTCTTCTTGCGCTCGTAGGCGAGTGCATCATTGGGCACATAGGCGACACGCACGCCGCCGTAGTGCTTGCGCGCGGGCAGCCTGTAAACGTAGTCGTCCATGTCGCTGGAGGAGCTGGAGGAACATGTGGAACAGATGCTGGCCACATCGCAATTGTCCAGATTGTTTAGCAGATTCAGTGCGCCGCCGCCCGCCTGCGTCTGGGCATTGTGCAGTCGCAGATTCGTCTGATTGATCTGCATCTCGGAGGAGCTGCGTGATTGATTGCGCCGCCGGCGGCGACGCCGCGCATTCGAGTTATCCGTGTAGCTCTTGGAGCGCGACATGGTGTCCTGCACACTGTGGAAGCGCACCTCCTTCAGCGGCGGCCGATTGTCCAATTGATGATGCTGCTGCTGCAGCTGCTCCTCCTTCTCGTCCAGATTGCTGCGCTGCTTGGCGGCAAAGAGCTGCTCGTAGCCGTCGTGCGGCAGCTCCAGCTCACGCACAGACTCATTGTCCAGCTCAAGTTCGTTGCCCAGCTCCTGGGTGCTCTGCGTCATGTCCGAGTTGCTGGGCGAGTTCAGATTGATCTTGTCTATGCTCTGATAGCTGTGCGAATCCTCCGCCTTGGAAAGCAGCATGTCCGGCATGGAGGAGGTCAATTGCGTGTCGCCAAAGATGGACTTGTCGCCGGCACAGATGTTGTCCAGGCTGATGCCCAGCTCGGTCAGGTCTATGGGCGGCGGATGGGCGGGTCGTGGCATGCCGGGCACACAGCCGCCCAGCAGCAAATCGGCCACGCCTGCTGCCTCCATACGCTTGCGCTCCTGCCGCTCCAGCAGATCACCCGCGCTGCCTGCGCTCTTGCCCACATGTCCATGACTGCCGCCCCCGCTGCTGCTGCTCTTGCCACGCCCCGTCGACTCGGCTGTGCGCCGCGGCGAGCGCGCTATTTGACTGGAAGTGGAGGCGCGATGCGTGGGCCGCAACTGTGGGCCAGAGCTCGTGTCCGACGGCGTTGGTGGCTCACCCTTGCTGCATGCAATGGAGCAGTAGATGGTGCCGCGTCGCGGCAGAAACGGACGTCCCAACAGCGAGCAGCGGCAGGTGCAGCACGAGAAGCACTGATCCGTTGCATGCCAGTGCTGCCCGTCGTGGCTCATCTGGCCCTGGTCGACGCCAATGACCTCGCCGCAGTAATCACAGTACTCGGCGAACATGGTGTCAAAACAGCCCAGGCAATACGGCTTGCCCTCCCGCATAATATAGCGCTGGCCGCCCAGCTGATGCTCACACTCCTGGCAGGCGAAGTGTTTCATGTGCCAGGTGCGACCTTCGGCCTCCGTGCACTCATCCGAGAAGATGATCTGTAGAGGTAAGAGAGAGCAAGAAAGATTGCGGTTTGTTAAGGTGTGAAAGTTATAAGCATGTTGCAATAGTTCTGATTTAGAGGGCAAATTAAAATTAAAACCGTTTGAGCGCTACTCAACACTGATTTAATCGATAAATTTAAATCTCTCCTCTCTATGTATTCTTATTGGAACCAACTGATTCCAATTAACAATATTTTATAAGCATAGAATATTCCACAAGATGTGGAATGGAGAAAAACATTCCTTTAACTAAAACAATGATTAATTCATCTCCTCAAACAGTTAACTAATTAAATTTCAAACTGAATTAGTTCCATTAATCAGTTCTTCTCGTACTCACCTCATCGCAAGCGGAGCAGCGCGGTTTCTGTGTCTCGGCATGATGGCGGCCACAGTAGAGATTGCCATCGCGCTGAAAGTATATCAAGTCCATGAGCAGCTCCTTGCATACGCTGCACACAAAGCAGCCGGGATGCCAGCACAACTGGGCGCCCAGGCGCTGGGCAAAGACCACAATGTCACCGCCGGAGAGCTGCTCCTCGCACTGTACAAAAACAAAAGTAGAGAAAGGGGGCATTAGGTAAACCGTGTATAAATAACAGAAATATGCTGGGGAGACAGCGAGGCGATAGAAATCTGCAGCGTCTGCTTTTGGCTGGGCGCAAATATTTAAGCGACTATAAATGCTAAATAACGGTAATAAAACGCTTAAGCCCCCCCCCGAGCGAGGACAACAAGACTACAACCGGCACGAGAACAGTACGAGAACGAGAACGAGAACCCTCCGCCCAACTCCTAACTTTGCGGTTTTCGCTTTTTTCCACAACGGAAATCATGCAAAAATAGCTGCCGGCCATGTGCGCGGCCTCAGCGCCCAAGTGCTCCCCAGAGAGCGAGCGGAAAAACCGGGAGACTTTAAACTGTTGGAAAAACACGAAACGCGAAACACGAGAAAAGGCCGCAAGGAAAATGCTGGTGTCGGTGTCGCAATCGCCATCGCAATCGAAGGAGGAGTAGGAGTCGGAGTCGAAGGCGGTGTTGGAGTCGAAGCTGGTTGTCACGGAGCCCGCACGGAAGCGCAGCTTTTAATGACTCAACCTCAACTCGTTAAAGCTGTAGCCATTCGCATAATGAACTCATTTACGTAGAGCGAGGCACCTAAATAGGGTCAGGCGAGCTAATGTCTTTGTGTTTGGTTTGCCTGAGGAACTCCAGGCGGTTATGTGGTTAAAACAGTTGCTGGGTGGCTAAGAAATTCAACTCGTAGACCTACTCATTAATTGATAAGCTTCATTTAAGCTATTGGCTCTGTATCTACTCCAGTCCCTATTGGAAGATGGTCCTGAATGTCTTCTGACATTGAATCCAGGACATTCTAAAAGAAACTTGTGAGCTCCTTAAGTAATTAAAAATTATACCAAAATCTTTGTAACCTCTAATATGCTGCACCTGGGTACATGGGCAGTTTGACTCACCGGAAGAAACTTCTGAATATGGCACGAATGGCATGAATAGGAAATCTAGTCTAGCTGAACCACATCCTGAATACAGCATGTATTTGGAAATCTAAGATAGGTAGCTGTAGCACACCAGCTGTTCATCCTAAAGAACTCTGCAATTTTCTATAGAACACATATATATATATATATGACATACATATCGTGTAGAAGAAAATCTATTATAACTTTTTTTTGTATATTGCAAAAGTTTTAATAGGGTTTGGGCATACTTCCTTGTACTCAGCTCAAGCTTTTCTAACTTTTCTAGGAAATCTATTTTTGCCCATTTCCTATAACCTTGCCAAGGAAGTCACAACTTTGCAACATTTTATGTATGCATGCAAAGCAATTAACGCAATTGCTCTGATTTATGAATGCCATTTTTGGGGGCCCCCAAAAAGTTGAGAGCACATGCGACGCAAAAAGCGTTGCCATTTGTGGGCAGCCCTATGACCTCATGCCCCCTCCAAAACCTTTCTGTCAGCCCTCAGTCTCTTAGCCCTGACAAAGCCGACGCCAATTTGCGCCATTTTCGTTTCAGCTTTCAGCATTTCCTGCTTGCCGCTTCCCTCCCTGCCCAGCTACCGTGTCTTCGTTTCGCGCACGCAAATTACCCGGCAGCGCCACAAAAGCCACAAGACGTTGCAAGGACCTCGCTTCCTGCAGCTTCTTAACTTTCCAGGCTATTAAACCTCAGTGGGCCGCTCTGCAATGTCCCCCCGCAATCAACATTTACTTTTGCAAGCCATTAAACATTGACAGCCAGTACCTAAAGCCCACGCTCCTTTACAGGGCTGATAATTTCCATAGTCAGGCTTAAGTAGCTACCAGTTTGGCCCGCTGCATGCGTCGTTAATTGTTACCAACTTCGAAAAAAGCAAAAAAAGAAGCAGCCACCACGCACTTTAATTAGGCTCTGCGGCAGCCAGAGCGAAAGAGACTTTGTGCCAGGCGCTAATGATGTATTTTTGTAGCTGCTGCGCATCCTGTTGCGGTCAGGACTTTCTGCTTCTTACTTCCCTTTTTTTTTTGGCCAGCACTTTGTTGTGGTTCAGACTAGAAGTTGTGCCGGAAAAGCTCTAAGTAGTTTCTGTGGTGACCAAATTGCAAAAGTATAAAAGTTGTTTTTTTCATTGCTTGAAGTCCACTTAAAAGGACATTTTTCAGGACTTCGCCTGCTGCTGTTGTTGCTGCTGGTGATTTTGGCAAATGTCATGTGTTTAACAGCAATCGCTGTTCATTTATCTTATCAATCCAATTAATCCCAGTCGCATGCAGTCGCTGACTCGCAGCCGGACTCTGCTGCAGTGCAGACAATTATGCTATTGACAAATTGACGCTGGCTGCCACGCGGAGGCGCCACCTGACCTGGCTAACCCATTTCGTGTCGTCCGCCCTAATCCAAATTTGGCGCTGCGCCCGACAAACTTGCCAGCAGACAAGCAAGACAATTTCCTGCCCAGTCGTGGCCCAACCCCCAATACCTAAGCCCAACTCTCTCCCTCTCTCTCTCTCTCTCTCTCTCTCTTTCTCCCTTGTTCTCTCGCTCACTGCACAGTGCCTTCAAATTATTAATGACGCTCGTTATCGTGCCCTTTTCAGTACATAAACTTTTTGCTTAACAGGCAGCAGGCAGCAGGATTTTCAGCTACCTTCCCTTTTTTTTTTTGTTATGTTGCGCCAACTTTTTGCTGCCTTCACCCCTCCGCAGTTTTGTGCAAAAGTATATGCCCTGGCTTTACTTAATAATTATTTTGTATTCCATCGTTGCCAGGACGACCTTTAGTGTCACATCCTTGTCAAGTTCTGCTGTCACATCCGCTCAGCCCCAGCCCCAGCGCCAACTGTCAGTTCAGCTGACTCCATTGTTGTTCGTGTGGAAAATCTGAGCTGGTCAAATCATTACGAGATGTGGATCTGTCTCTGTCTCCGACTAACTCTGACTTTGACGCACGTTCCTCTGGCCATGCGACTCATTTACGCTTGACTGAATTTGAGTGCTTTTTGGCAGCGGCAGCAGCAGCAGCAGCAGCAGCAAAGGAGAACCGGGCATCATTCAGGCTCATTGAGCGTTTTCATAAATTTCCTTTAAGTATAATTTCTGCTTGGCTGTTCACGCTCCCTCCTCCTGCTCTGCCCTGCCCCCACAAATCTGATTCAGTGGGCGGCATTTGCTTTGTTCGCATTTTAACCTTCGTTTAGCAGGTCTCAGTTATGGTTTGTGAATTTTAAGTAGCACGAGGGCCAGACCGAGGAGTGGGCTCTGCCCCGTCAGTTTTGCTCGTGAACATCAAATCTGACTTGACTTATCAGATTTCATTAATTACCAGTTGAACTTGATCGGGCAATTGAATGCTGCTCAGCTGCTTTAACTTGGTTAAATACTATTCTAGAGAAAGACTAACTCAAATGGTTCAAGGCACGGCCACGCCCACTAACCACAAAATTATACATTGAGTTTTAAATTTGGAATATAAAACTTTTTAAAATACTTTAAAACATGGGAACTCATCTGAAGTATGTTAGGATCCCCTAACCCTTTAAGTTCAAGAACAGTCCGAAATGCTTAATAGCCTTTGATTCTCGAATATAACCCATTTTTATACAAATTGTATTGTTATCCTTTGACAATTTGAACAAAAATTTGGCAACTCTTGCAGCTGGTATCTTTACTATTCTAATAAGTTACATCATTTAATAATCAGACATAATTTACTCGAGTAATTAAGATTAACCACAGCCGCCTGCGTGTGGCTTAGCGCAACAATTTCTACATATATGAGTTTTCGTTCTATCTATTTCTTCCATTGCTTAACACAAACCAAAATAACTATGTAAATACCACATTATTTTAAATAGCTTACAACATATTTTATTCATATTATTATCATATTCTTCAGTATTTGCCAACGTATTTAGAAGCATAATCTATTCTATAACTAAATCAAATTCTTGCTATATATATAAACAGTGCTTATTTTTCGTATAGTTAAACATCTCCTTTAACTTTTAAATAACAAACGGCATCGTGCCCCACGCCAGCTGAAGCTAACTTTGAGCAATATAATGTGCAGAGTTTTGAAAGTCTTTGCGAGTGGCATCATAAATAACTGAAGTATCTTATGAGGTAAGCCCTTGGCATCATTGATCAAAACATATGAAATCAAATATGTAACTGCACTTTGGCATTAAACATGAGAGGACAAACTTATTGAAAACTTCGCACGCTGTTTGCGCGCCTGTCTCTAATGAACTCTGAACCTGGACCTGGACCTAGTCTTGGTCTTGGTCTGGCCTGGCCTGGCCTGGCCCGGCCAGAGCGCTGCCCCTGCTGCCTTATAAGTCGTTGTGGTGAGGCGTAATAAATGCAACTTGGCTGCCAATTTGGTCGTCTCTCCGCAAAAAACCCAAAACCAAAGAAAATCACTGAGAAAACTTGGGCACAACTTTAATGCCAGGGCAACACCTCCGACGAGCCGCAACGCCCACGCACGTAGCAGACGGGCGAGAGGCACTGTGAAGCGGCGGAGTGGGGCAACAGCCAGTGCAGCGCACAAATGCTGGATGCTGGATGCTGTTGAATGCATGTCCATGTCGTCCATACTCGACCGGTTGCCCAGACAAGACACGCAGCGCTGCGTGGCAGCATGCGGCATAAACTTTTTAATAAGTTTTACGAGTGGCGAATGTGAACACAATAAAATCAAGCTCCAAACTATCTGCGGCAGGCAGACAGTGGGTAGCCATGGATCGGGTATATGGATTGTGGCCGTGCAGACAGGCCAACTTGAAGCTATAGAAGCTCCACTTGGCAGTCGGTTAGCCAGCGCCACGCACAGACTCCAGCTCGAACTCCAACTCCATAGACTGCCAGCTAATAACAATGCAAATTTTTGTTTAAGGTACGGGGGCAGGATGTGAACTACAACTCCTTCCTACTGCTGCTGCTGCTGCTACTGCTACTGCTACTGCTACTGCGACTATTTTATGCTACTAGCATTGTGCTTTAGTGCCATTTCACTGCGTTGCGCAGTTTCTCTATATATGCACACTCACTTTTCTACAAAAAAAAAAAAAAAAAGCAAAGGCAAATGGGCTAAAATCCCAAATGCTCGACAGCTAGATGCCTTGTTAATGAAATAATAAATCACTGCTAAGGCTTATAGACATGAGTTTGCATAGAAAGGCAGATACAAACATATAAAAACAGTCCAGAAATTAAACCTATTTTATATAAGCATGTCCTTGCAGCCCGTTTTTACTTAATAACTAAGGAGCGTGGCCAGTTATTAAACGGCTTTCCTTAGTTGAAGCCAGGTATGTCATATAAGAGCCTGCATACCAAGGTATTAGCCTCTAGAGCTTATAGTCCTCGAGACAGAGAACAGAGAGAAATGCCTGCCTTGATGTCGCTCAAGCATAAAAATGACTCCAGATATTAAAGATATCTTCTGCTTGTTGCACATATTTTAGCCCGACCCCATAACAACTCCGTTCACCGTTCGTTGTACAGGGTACAAAAATCAACTTGCAGCACTCGGCTAGTTCACAGTAGAGTTCCGTAGTCCGTTGTCCGGAGCGTGGAGCTGGCTGTGGCCCTTTTGTATTGCTGTTGCAATGGCAGTTGCTGCAATTGTTTTTGCAACAACGTTTTTCATTTGCAGTTTTTCGCCCGTTGTTGCAGCACTTTGCCGTTTGCTAAAAGTGTACTTAATGAAATCTTTTTGTCATCTTTTATTTGAGACGCTGCCAAGTTGCGACGTCGCGACGTTTGAAAGTTAACCGTGTTCGCCCGCCTCGCCCCGTAGCAGCCCTTGTTGTCCCTCGCTTATTGTTTCTGGCAGGCGCCATTGTCAATTTTTTTTGCAAACCCCAGCCACCCACACCCACACTCGGCCATTATTCATAAGCAGTCCTTGGGAGCCGGGCGAGTCCTGTCAAAGTTTTGCGCACAAACTTTGCCCGGCCATGGCAAAAAATGAAATCGAAACTCGCCTTTTCTACGGGCTCATAATAAAATGCAAATTTCTTGGCTCACAATTAAGCTGAGTAAGGGTCGTGGATAGTACTTACCCCCTTGCAGGGCCTTTCGTCGGACAGCAGACGCACCGCGCCACGTCCGAGCGCCTCCCGCTTGCGCTGCGCCGAAAAGATGCGCAGCTCCTTGCGCTCCTCGTCGCTCAGCGAGTGGCAATAGCGCACCTGGAATGGACATGGGCATGAACATGGTTAATGGTTAATGGCATTGGAAATGGCAATGGTATTGGTAGCCAAGCCAGCGAGAAGCCAGCCAGTTTCTTGCATTGTAAATATTAATTAAAATCTCCCTCTCTTATGGGCGCAGTTCAAAAAAGGCAATGCCAACTTTTTTAATCTCGCACTGACTATGGGGGGCGTGGCCTTGATTTTTATACAAATTTATTTGCCTTTTCCTTTTGAAATACCCTTGCAAAGGATGCTGAAGCTCCACTGGGGAACTTGCCGCTAAAAGGCATATCTAGTGCTGATCTGTTCTGTTTGTCCATCTGAACTGAGCTTTGAGCTGGGATAGATTGATGAAACTTTGTACAGATGCTTATCTTTATGCAGGCCCATCGAATCAGATTGCTATATCATAGAGCTGACATAGAAATTGTCGATAAACAGTTGATTGGGAAAACAATTTGAACTTGCAAATGTTCTGTCTTGATTAAATATGAATGAATAATAGAATATATATAGAAACATCTCAACTAGCAATAATAAGAAAACTATATCATATAGCTTTTCTAAGAAGGGTCTATAGAAAGCTAAATTTTCATATGAGAAAAATGTTTATACTTTGGGTAATTTCAAACAGTTCATACTAAAATCGTACACAAGTAGGACATATATGATCAAAATCGGAACACTATCTATGCCATATATAAAGCTGTCATATGAACTATCTTTGTATTGCAAAATTCGAATTAAACATTGCGCTCTCCTATTTGACAATTTGTCACCTAATAGTTTTTTCAATGTTCAGGGGTTCGATCCCTAGTTTTCAGTAAGTCGATGCGTAGCTTACAATAAGCCTAGACAATAGGAAAGGTTTGGCTTTCGGTTTGTTTGAGGCTACGATTCCTAAGCTTCAGTTAGGCTAAGCCTAGCTTACTTTGAGCCTTAGACAACAGTAAGGGTATTAAGTCTTCGGCAATGCTTGGCTGAATATGCGCTTCTGTTTTCATTTACTGTCATTTTGGTTGTTGCTTTTCGAAATTCTCAAAAGTTGGCAATGCTGTAGCTGGCATTAACTGCATTTTTATGATGCTTGAGCTCTTTTTTTTTATTTTTTTTTTGTCGCCAGGGCCATTGAGTGCTCCCTTGTGCTTGGCAGTCTCTCTGATGAGCTGTGCTTTCATTGCTTCTGCTCCTTGTGGCTCCTTTGGCTGCTTTGGCTAATACTCACTTCGTTATCTTGGGGCGGCAGCTGGTGCAGCAATTGTTTCACGCGATACTTTTCCCCGGGACTGTTGACGTAGGGCACTTTGTCGTCCGGCAGTTGGCTAAAGTACAAGCGAACCTGTTAACGAGCAGTTAGAAGAAAGAGAGAGAGAGCAAGAGAGAGAACATCAGATATAATGTAAGAAAAACTTAAGCACTGCATTTATGTATTGGCCATAAACTTTGGCTTAACGATTGGACAACTGGCTGGGCGACTAATTTCGTGGGAAACAATCCATTAAGGACCAGTCATAACGAATTAATCAAAGTCCAGTGACAAAACGCTTTCACCAACTTGGCCAAAAGCACAAATCACAGCAACAATGCACGCCCACAGCTCTTTTTAGCCACACGAATATCGGCAAAAAATTAAACAACAACAAAAAGTAAAAGCCACGAATACAACAAAAACTGATGTGAAACGTGCGAAAGTGGAAAATGTCGCGAAAAAGTCATGACGCCAGCAGAATGAATGACAGAGAAGCTGCCAACTCTCGCAGTTGGTTTTTCTTTCAGTTTCAGTTGTTTTTCTTTCCCCCAGCCAGTTATGTAAGCATTTGGGCCAGATTTGGCCCCAGCTCTTGACCGGGCTCTCTAATTGCAGCCAAAAGCGGGCAAACGAATTTAATTACAAAACGCTTTCGCTTTTCATCGATTGCCAGTCGATTGAGCGATAATTTTCCAACCAACCAAAAAAAGAAAGAAAAGCCGCTCAGCGGCAATTAAAGTGCTCGCCGCATTTCCTTAAACGTGCCGTTAGACATTGAACTGGAGCTGGAGCTGAGGCTGCGACTGGCACTCGATTTGATTTTGGGCAAACGAAAGCAAAAGTCCAAAGCCCCACAGCAGGTGGTCAGAAACCACAAACAAAGCCACATGGAAATCGACTAGCGAAAAATTGCCCGCTGGCTGCTTTTGTGATTTCACCTAATTAGCTGCGACAAATTGGCGTATGTGTTGGGCTACGCCCGCTTACCTGATCTGGCCGCAGACCCGGCGGCACCCAGGTGTACTCCTCGAGCGCACAGCCGCTGTCATCGTCCGACTGTGAGTTGCGCTGAAAATCGAGCTGCTGATGGTGGCTATGATGATAGACACTGGCCGTGGCCGCCGTCTTGTAGCTGGCGGTGCGCAGCGGCGTGGCCACCACCGAGTTCAGTGGCAGATGGTTGGGCGGCTGGCAGTGGCGTCTCTGCAGCGGCGACACAAAGTGCGACGGCGTCCCGCTGCTGCTGCCTGCGGTCGATGGGGCATCCAAATTGTTGTTGTTGCATGTGCCCGTCGAAGTTGAATGGCTGCTGCTGCCACTCGCTGCCTGCAGCTGCTGCTGCTGCGGCTGCTGCTGTTGCGGCTGCTGCTGGGCTGTGTTGCCGCGATGCGGCGGAAAGGGCGCACCACCGCCAGCCTCGAGCTGCAGCAATTCGCTCTCCGTTTGCGTGTAGTAGCTGCTGCCGGGCTGCTGCATCTTGTGGCTGCTGCGTCTCGTGGCGAATGCGGAGCTGCTGGTGCGCGGTGCGGGCGTGGGCTTGTATTTGTGGTTCGACTGGTTACTGCAAGCACAAAGATGTGGAAACGAAGGATTAGCTTAACGTTGCCAAACATGAGCCTGCAGCTAACGGAATAAGCTGTTAATAAGGATTTCCTTCCAAAGATTATATATCTACTTTAAAGAAGAATGTTTTATAATATTTGATTAAACAATTTGTATAGCTAGTGTAATATTTGAAGTCTTTTAACTATAATAAATCATTTAAATTAATTAAAACTATCGATTTCCATCTTCACACAAAAAAATTTCAACACTGAAAGATCTGCTGTTACCAAAGTAAGCTTGAACATATGATTTCTTAATTATCTTCTCATAAATCATGAAACTTTTCGCAATTGAAACCCACCCAATGTTGCATAAAAAGCTGTACTATTATTAATAATACCACAAAATTACACCTTGCGTTGAGTTTAAGTCGCATTTGTAACGCACTGCCCCAGTGGAGGGAGGCAGAGATTTACAAGATTTGCCGCAAATCCTGTTGCATGTTAATTTGTTGGCATGCGTTTTTTGAGACGTTGAACATGAAAATTGCTCATACGTAATGTTGCACCATTTACTGAACGATACTCATATTCATATTCAGATATGAATATTCATATATTCACATATGCACATGATGAATGCTGACAGGCCCAATTTGCAATTAGCCAGCTGAGATATAACAAAACTCATTTAAATTCAACGCGCCGGACATTTCTAATCTGTTCTGACTGCAATTGCGGCCGAGCTGCAGCTGCTGCTGCCGCAGTTGCTGTTGCAGCTGCTGGCGCATGCGTGTTGTTGTCCAATTTATGAAATTTCGAAATTGCCAGCGCGCATGTCGTGCCATCAGCATGTGGCCATCACCATGGCCAGAGCCATAAACTTTGGGCCCGGACTGACCAGCGGAGGCAGCTCGCACTGTGGCATCTGACGCTTCTTTCTGCCGCTTTCTGTGTACTTTCACTCGACACACTGTGGCACACTCGCCGATTATGCAGCCAAGCGGCAGCAACAGCAGCAGCAGCAGCAACAACAATTTGATATTGCTTTAGAAATTCCAGCGGCAGCTTTAAACTTGTGTTCATATGGCACCCAGCCTGGTCATGTTTCAGTTTTAATTTGCTTTTAAATACCCTGTGCACAATTGAAATGCTTCAAAGCGGGCGTCTACAACAACTGGCAGCAGACCTATGCCAAACATAGTATATATTAGGTTTTTTGAACTGTGCTCGAATAACTCAAGAACTCTGTGCGCTAGAGACATCAACTTTGGTATGTAGGTACTCGTAAGCCAGGAGAAGATAAACAATTCATTAAATTTGTAATAACTATATCATCTGCCCAGTTAACTTGAGATAAAATTGTTTGTTAGGGCAGCTATAGGCTTAAGCTTTGATTATTGTATGAATATATATTTGCATATTACCTTTATTTATCCCGCACAGTTTATAAGGAGCACACAATCAAAATGCAACAAATTTAGCAAACTATTTGCTGCACTTTGTCTACTCTAGACTACAGGGCATCTGTATAGTCGAGCCTACTGCCTTCACGCATTCTTACATGTTTTCTCTGGTAATTTAAGCTTGCCCGCTGGCTATAATTTTGTTTTGGTATTTTTGTTTTGTTTTTATGTTTCTTTAATTTTTGTAATTAAAGTCATTTGTGTGACTTAACGCCAAGTGCTTTATGCGTTTAGCTCTCGGAAATAAAGCGATGCGCTGCAGTTGCGTGTCATGCTGCCTGCTTTTACATTCTCATTCATAAGCATTTTCGATTTGTATCAAATTGCACAACATTTGGAGCATGAATGACACACACACACACTCACTGACAAACAGAAACCAGCTGTCCCACGTTGGGAGCCTAATCAATGTGAGAAGAAGAGCGCCACGAGCAGCAGCTGAAAGCAATTTGCCAGCACGCCAAGCGATTTATCTGAATAACTTGTAAATTTATGCAAATGAACGATAACAACTTGACCAAGTCCAGGTCCAGAGTCAAGACAAGTTAACCTTCTGCTAACAAACGCACAAATTTCTACGGCTATTTAGCAGGGCCCATAGATAAAGCCTGGCTAAAAACCCTTTCGCTAAAGCAAATTAATGGGCCCCCAACACTCGCCCCATTGCTTGGTTGCATGCAAAAGTGAATGTCTCACCAGGCAGCCGGCAGCATGTTGCATGTAACTGATGGGCAATGCTATTAGCATTAACACCATGTTGTAGTTCAGGCTGAAGATCGGCGGCGATAACATTAGACAGATCGTTAAAGAAAGAAAATATACGATACAAGCGGCAGCCAGTGAAAGTTTTATGTGCTACGTTTTATGGTTTACCAATGCAAATTCCATTTGTTTTGTTGGACAGTGCCAAAAACCAAACAACAAATATTGTGGACAAATCTGCGTGCGATCAATCAAAGGGGGGGCTCTAGAGCTTTGAGCTTTGCTTTCTAAACCGAAACGAACGCTGATCTCTGATCGGCAGTCGATCCATTCATTGCGATTGTCAACTGTTGCCCAAACAAAGTCAAGGCATAATCTGTCACAAATGAATTGTGCGCCTGTTGATTGACTTTGATAGCCAACACCAGCGTCAGCCCAATTCAAATCTAGCCAAAATCGAAAATATACAAAAAAAGAAAAAAAAAAAAACAGTTTGCCATATATGGCCAAGACTGTTGACATACTCGCATCTGTCCGGCAACTCTCAACTCTTGGCCAGGCTGGGGCGGTTTTCTCTTTTCGGCCAAGGCAGGCTCTAGGTGAGAGTGTCTGACTAAGACATGCTCTATATGCATCTCAAGTGTTTTAACAACAAAACTGTGCATCGTTTCTTTAGTATTTATTTCCTTGAATAATTTCTGACGTCATTTTACATGCAAAATTAAGCCTTAGGCATATTTCTTTAACTTCGAATCCTGCTACATCTTATGCCTTTCAAATTTTACAGGGTATTGCAAGCCAGTTGGATCTTTGATTTTTCTAAGCGGCATGCAATTTTATTTGCCATACGCAATCTGCCTGCGCTTAAAATGTTGCATGGGAATTGACGTGCATCTGACCAACTATGGTGCGATCTCTGACACATGCATAAATTTGGGTTAAGAAGATTTGAGCTTCGAGTTTGAGTTTATTTGGTTTGATGTTTGTCATTTCCTTGATGTGTGTGTGTCACAACTGCCCAGACGAGTACTTGCGCACATATGAGCATAATTAAAAGTAAAGTGCTTGACACATATTGAAAATGGAAATCGCAAATTGGAATGGCAAGACAAGTTGTTAGCACAGCGCGGAGTTGAAATAGGTTACAAATTAATGTCATTTTTGATGTTCTGGAAACTTTTTACCAATTATCTGATTTATCCGACTTATCCAGATTTATCCGACTTTATCCGAACTTATCCGAATTTATCCGAAAATTCAAAATACCTTTCTTACCCATTGTTAACAACATCCGGCATTATTTTCCACGCCTTATCTTGGACTTAAGTTAATATATCACAAATTCTATTGTAATTTAGAAGCATTTCCTATTTATCCAGATAGTTATATGCCCATTTCCACTCTATTTAGCCCAATTGATATAGTATCCGATTTATCCGCAACACTAAATTACTTATCCGCAAGCGCTGCATGTTATTGATTGCACTCGAAATTGGCTTGGCTGCTTGATTCGTAATCTCTTTTGTGTTAGGCAATGCAATATACAGCTCATTAGGCAACATTTCAGCAATTGCGGCACGTTTAATTCAAATGCCAATGCCGTGCCACTTGGCTAATAATATCTCAATTATCCGCACCACCAAAGCTGATTGGCAGGGGCACTCCGCAGAGTGCAGTGCTGTATAACGAATGCATTTCAATGTTGCTTTCTTTCCTATAGAAGCTGTATGTCTGCGATTTCATTAAATTTTTAGACACGCAGTTTCCACAGAACTGGTTCAAAAGCATTTAGGCACACACCGACACACACACACACACACACACACACACACACCAGTTTTAATAGTTGTTGTTGTTGTTTTTGTTGTTGTGCTGTTGTATCCCAACCAGTTTCCCAGAAGAAGTGCACTACGACACGCAGACATTCGGCTCGGGCGGGCAATTGAACTACGTGGAAATTAAAACGAAACATGCAATTCTTGGTAATTGAAAAATGTAGAAGAAGAAGAAGCAGAAGCAGTAGATGCTGAACGGAATCCGCATTAAATTACTTTCACAATTGGTCAAAAGATAAAACATCAGAGAGCAGACTCTCGACCACTTGGCCGAATGCCTTGAATTATCTGGACACGATCTCTGGATCTATGGATTCGCGTAGCCTGCCATTTAAGCGGATCGCACAAAGTGTGGGGGCTGCTGCTCCAGAATCGAATGCGATTAAATTAAAATGTTGCCCGTTGTTGGGCGTGTCACACAGTCTCAAGGCCCCCACACACACACACACACACACACACACACACTCTCCGACTCTTGTGTTTGCCAGTTGCCAATCCATTACGAAATCTGTTGGCTCAGCTTCAACGTTTGCCCTGACCTTGTTGCGTGCTTTCAGCGTTTTATTGTCTTGGCCTGGCCCAAAAGGGGCGGAAATAGAGGCAGCTCAAAAGCGAGCATATTATATTATTTATAAATGCTGTATTTTTTTTCGGATCAGGCCAAACGGCTGCATTTGACACGAGTTTACGTCACACGAGACAAAGGCCAAAAGCAGCAACAGGCCATAAAAGAAGAAAGCAAGGCAAGCCGAAGCTTAAATACTCTACCAGACAGCTGAGTCGAATGGAAGAGCTTGTAGTCGAGTTTGTTGAAGATATCTTGAATAAGCAGAAAGTTTTATGTAAAAGGAAATGTTTGACCTGATCCTATATGCCAGGCATTTGTAAGCCTGTAAGAAGATAGGTCATAGAGACAGGCAGACATTTGCTTCTGTCAAGTCATGACAAAGTTAGGGTATACGAAGCAGACACCAAGCATGTACCGTGTGTGTGTGTTTGTGTGCACAACACGTGTTGATGTCGCTCAAAACTTTATGCATTTTTTATGAGCATGCACAACAAATATACACACACACACACACACACACACACACACACACACACACACACACACACGCGACAATAATGTGTGTTGTTTGTTGGCCGTCTGCGCGCCTTTTCAGCCATTTCTTTTGAGTGCTTCATGGGCGCAACCTGTGGCAGCGCCGGTTAGGCCCGTTGCACAAGTTTTGCAGCGCTGTGCAACGCCTCTTTAAGTACCGCGAGTGATTTAGTGCAATAGTGCCGTTAGACAGGCAAGGCTAAAACTGTTGCCGGTTGCTGCCGCTGCTGCTGCTGCTGCCACTGATAAGCTGCAGTTGTTGCAAGCAGCAGCAGCAGCAGCAGAAGAAGCAGCATTAGCCACATCAGATGCCAGCGCATCAGCATAGTCAACAACATGGTCTCAAATGCATAATTAATCGAACTTGCTGGCCCGTGTTGAGCGTCTTTTTCTCTCTCTCTCTCTCTCTCTTTTGTTTGCGGCTGCTGCTGTGTGGCATGCCACATGTGGCATATAGCATTTCCCCCCCCCATTGAGTCGTTTCGCCTGTTGAGTTTGTTTTGCGCTTGAGCTGATTTTCGCGTTCCATCATTAACAGCTTTTGCATAATTTTATGCTAACCGGCAATGCAAATGCATTTCCAGATGTTTGCAACAGCAGCTGCCCCTGCCACTGCCCCTTCCCCAGCCACTGTCACTGTCACTGTCTCTCTGCCCTTGTCAGCGCGTTGCCTTGTTGCATGCAGCACAGCTTTAATTTATGCAAAATGCTGTTGTTCTACTGTTATGCAATACCCCGCCACAGCGCCTCTCAGACTCTCCCCTCAGCTCTTGCTCGTTTTGGACTTTTTTCATCACGAAAATTGTTGCTTTCAAGTTCACATTCTGCCTTCATTAGGCCAAGTTGTTGGCCAAGTTTATTGATTTGGTATTTTTGTTGTTTTGTTAGCCGCATAATAAAACAAAATAAACGGGCTTTTAACATGGCACACAGAATGGCGACTCTTTAAAGCACATAAATTTGAAAAGCAAGTAAATATTCGGACTTAAACGGAAATACTTGGCCACAGCTGTGAATTAGTTGCCAATTTGATTTAGTTTTTTTTTTTTCTCTCTATTTCTTTTGTCTGCAAAGTGGCTTTTAGGTCTTATTAAGCTAATGGGGCAGGTACAGTCAACAGTTGCCTGTTGCCAGTTGCCAGTTGCTCCCATTCCCAAACACTGAAAACAATTGGTAGAGACTTCTACTGGCAGCCGCTTAGCTTGGAATGTAATTGCTGCAGATTGGGTGCCGATGATATGCGAGTGAGCTAACTGGAAAAACTCCCACAGTTCTTAGACATAAATTACATTTTTTTTCCCCTCTTCAAACTTTAATTTCGAGGAGCCGCGCAGTTATGAAGATGATGATGAGGAGGAGGATGATGATGATGTTGCTGCTGATGCTGATGTTCAAGATGTTATAGCTGATGATAAATGTAATTGCGTTGGCTTCACATCAAATTAAGGCAACAGAGAACACACATCAAAAAGATTACGTTTTAAGACGACGAAATAAAAAGCACCATAAGTTGATTAAATTAAGAGAACCGAAGCAGAAAAAAAAATGTATCTAAGAAATAGAAACATTGTTTATGAATGCCACAAAGACAGACAAAAGTAGAAAAAAAAACCCGAAAAATAATTGACACAGGGCAGACAAGAAAGAAGCAGAAGCAGCGAGTCGCACAACAAAATGTCCATTAAATTTGATTGTCTGGTCGCGTATGACAAAAAGAAATGAAATCAACGAAGCATGTAACATGGCTGATGAATGTGTCTGGAACTGGACTGGGCTGGGCCGGGCTGGGCTGGGCGTTCAAACAGGTGGCTGGAACTGTTGAAACGTGGGAAACTAGTTGCAGCGACAATTACCAAAATACGTAGCAGGCCAGCCAGAATCTCGCATAAGCCAACCCTGTTGCGGTGGCAAGTTGCACGTTGCAAGTCAGCTGACCATGAAGCGGCAGCGGGGGCAGCCAGCTATGACCGAATGGGATGCGCAGCAGAGGCAACAGGCAGCAGAGTGCAACAAGGCCAACAAACCGGAAGTGTGGCATATAATTAATTGTGGCATGTGAATCATCACGCATCAGTTGTAGAGTGTCCGTCCATCTATAAACAATATTTTCTCACACACATGGCAATTGGCCAGTTGGCAATTGGAAATTGGAAATGTGCGTGTGCATTGAGCCGTAAAAGGATTAACTTTGCATGTGGCACAGACCAGAGACAGACAGACAGGCCAGACTTTGATATGCCGCTTCTTGCAGCCACTTCCCTGTTAACTGTTAATGTGCAACAAGCTGCACTCGACGCAGGCAAACTGACAAACGTACAAACAAACCTCAGGCAAACGGACAGCAACATTTCAATTAGCCAAAAGGCAGCTGACGAGAGAAAGAAGAGAGAGAGAGAGAGAGGGAGCGAGAGAGTAAGAGCTAGAGAGGGGAACACGTCGTCTAATCGCCGCCTGTCACAACAAAGTTCTCGTTGGACAAATCACCAATCAGACAGGCGTTTGTATCTTCAAAATGTATCTGTATCTGTATCTGCATTTGTATCTGTAGCTGCAAGCCCTCTCCGCCCCCCGCTGCATTTATGTGCCTGCTGCTAAAATGCGCAATTAAGTCATCATATGCGTTGCAAGCGTCTTGGCTGCAAGCATCAGACGCCAAGTGCATTAGCCAAATGCACACTTGGTCAGGCCAACCAGGCAACCAGGAAGCCAGCCAGCCAGCCAGCCAACGAGTCAGAACTTAACTTTTACTATTAATACCCTGTATAGCAAATAGTTTGGAATTGGGTATTGTTATGCTGAGCAAATGCATGTAACAGCTAGCTCAAGAACATTTGCTAGCCACATATTAAGATGTGTACAAGAGATATATACAGAAGACATATATATATCTTTTGTAGTACAAGATATTGTAATTGTAATACATGAAAATGCCAATATCTTGCAGAGGTAAGATTCCAAATGCCTTTCTTCGGCATACTGAACATTAGGTTTGGGTTTCTTATGATATATTATGATCTAAGAAAATTCTCTTTACCATAGATCTCAGCTTATAAACAAGAATCTTTAATATAAAATACATTTTAGAAACAAGATTCCATACGAAAAACATAGAACTTACGCAATTTGTTTATTGTCTCAATACAGATTATAAATAATATACGAGTTAAAATACAAATGTATAGTTCAAGCACTTAAAGCCCACCCAACAGGGCATCCGAATGTCAATCACATTTCCCTGAAGAGCCTTAACCCACTCAGCTGAGCAAGTGGAGTCGGCTTTTACTGGGAACTGGACAACTGGGAACTGGGCAACTGTTTGGCTAATGAAGCTTGAAGCGCAAGTCGAGCAGTTTCTGAATTG